CATAATTTCACGCTGATCGAAGAAAAGATTTTTCATTAGCTTTTACTGAGCGCCGTACTAGAATGATAAAATAAAATTAATGTAACCCAGTTCTTCGACAAAAAAGCAGCAGATATTATCACCGAAAAGGAACCTGTTGGAAATCATTTATACTCTGTATTTAAAAATCACTTTGACTCTTAATTACTTTAATTAGCAGAAAAAAGTTTTCCGTTTGAAAAAAAAAAAAACGTTCTTTGTTTAGGTGGCATCATTTTTATACTCTATACGATGTGTGGTACAGGGTATATTAAGCTCGTGTGAAGAATGTATGCAACGTCCAAAAGGACTTTAGACACGTATTGACGTGTCTTGGACAAGGAGCGAAACTTATTTGAATGGATCATGTTTACCAATGCTCCCCATATAAGGTGTTATCGTGAAAAGACGCAATTCCAAATTTCAAAATTTTATCAAAAGGAACAAAATTTCTCTGAGTAATAACATTTCGGCGTATTAAATTGATTTAATAAATTTGGACCGGATGGTCCGATGTTTTGAACTTATTCTTATGCAACTCTTTCTGCCAAAGCTAGGCTTCAGTAAGGATTGCTCTAAAACAGATATTTGACATAAAAACCGATTGCATTAAATGTGGGTCATGTAGTTCTATTTTTTGTACCTCGCCCCTCATAAAGCTTCTGACGAAAAAAAATCTTTATTGTGGTTAAAAGATCTAATTTACAATGTTTTATGATGAAAATTCGCCCACAAACGTTACATGGCTCAGAAATTGACTGTACCCTGTCTAGATTACGTAGGTCTATTTTTTCAGACCGCCCTGTGTAAGGGTGATCATAAAAAGTATGGCTTCATTTGACAACATTGTTCAATTTTTAGATTTGTAAGATTTTAGCCAAGAAAATTAAATTTAGACGATTATGTCACGACATGTTTTCGGCCGCATTTTATATAACGATTCACATAAAGAGATAAGCTTTTAAATAGAAAAACGATAAAATTAGTGATTTTCTTTGATTGCGAAACTAATCGAAGAATTTTATTATGCGAACCGATAAGGTGTATCTAAAGGTCGGTCTTACCCGGCCAAAATATTCTTGCTTGTTTACTGATATTTTCGTTGCCATCACAGCCACAAAACAGGAAGAAGAAAATTTCAACTTTGACGCTCCATAGGTAAATGTAGAGTACACAATGCCAATCTTTTTTAGATCGCACTCTATATAAAGAACACAAAAAATTATTCATTTAAACAACATTAAGTCTAATGTAATAAGGATAAGCGTTAGTTAATTCCGTATGTCAGCAAATATCGCCATAAATGCAGTGACGACCTAATAAAAATTTAATGCTTTTAAAACGATCTAATATTTAGGATATTAGCAAATGCTTTTCGTAAAGAAGAAAGAGAAAATGAAAAGGAAAAGGAAAAAGGGGTTTAGAGGGAAAAACTTAATTGCTTCTTGCCGAAAGCAAAACAGTTATTTTCCAGGCTGTTGCTTTTTTAATACATAATTTCCTTTATTGAATAAAGGAGGTCATTACTTAAAGTGCAATCTAACAAATTTTGCCCTTTACTGTAAGCTATACAAACATTTAACACAGTATGTTTGCGCTGCGTCGTTGATTGTGTTGTTTGCCTCTTAGTCCATAATATCGAAGCCATCGCTGTTGTTTTTGTTGCTGCTGTGTTTTTATTATTATTGTTGTTGTTGTTGTTGTTGCTATTGTTGGTACTTGTTGTGTATGCTTCAGTAATATGTTCTCTTAGCACTCTGTTGCTACTGATACCAATCCAATTCACTGAAAGCATAGGATATGGCAATTTTTCGTTTTTAAATCTTTTTCTCTTTTTCATGTTATATCAAAAAAAAAAAAAAAGAAAAAAAAACAAAAAAAAGGAAAAAAGACGAAGAAGTAGGAAGAAAAAAACAGAAAAACAATTATGTATGAAAAAAGGCACATACCGAAGAACATCAGACATACACTTGCGTATACATATATATTTATATATATATATATATATATATATATATATATATATATATAAACTGTAAATGACTCGTAGTGAAGTGAAGGAACAATATAAGCAATGTAAAGGGAAGTAAATATAAGAAAAGGAAAAAAAAAACTTTACGACTAAATAGAGGAAAAACTTCTGAACGTTCATAGTGATTTATGAATGTTAATTTCAAAAAAGAATATAGAAAGCAGAGGAAGAGTTAAACATCAACAAGCAGCAGCAAAAGAAAAAAAGAAGAGAAGTAATTGCATATAAAAACAAACGACGACACAACAACAAAGTAACCTAAAATCTCTCTTTAATAGGAATGTAATGAAACATCACACGTTCAGTCGTGCGTACATACATGCATGCATATACGTATATACATATAGTTACCGAAGCTTTCACTTTTTTGACTTGGAAAGAAAAGGATATTTTCTCTTACAATTGCAAATACACTGAACGCTGCTAACATGCATTACATTTATGCTCCCAAACGTCTACTTTTTTTTAAATCGTTATTTTATGTGCAAATATGTGAACCATAAATAAAGGAATAGAACCTTCGGGCTGCAAAAGGAAACATTATACAAGAAAAAGAAAAAAAAAAAAAAAAAGAAACGGGAAAAAATGCTGTTATGAATACAAGCAAGAAAGCATAGTGAGCGCGTACGTATATGTCTACAAAAATGGGGAGAAAATATGGCAGGAGAAGCTATCAACCAAGCCGGCGATGAAAATTACATGAAGTCATCAACGTTTCAGACACTTCAGACTCTTCTAAAGTGTGCTTAAAAAATGACTGAGTGACACGCCACCTCATTTGAGATTTAATTATTTCGCGCTTTGATCATAAAAAAAATTGAATTAAAAATTAATTAAAACGTTTCATGTTTATTTAATACTTGCTCGATATGCATCTAATAGGCTTTAACGAAGTGGTGTGCATCTAATAAGAATTGAAAGAGAAAAAATTAAAAACAAAAATAAATAAATAAAAAATTGTGCGATAATCTCTTATTTCACTAACAATAACAGGGGTCCAAAAATCAGAAATTATATATCACTAACAGTATTCGATCTGCAGATAAAAACACACAATTTCCGAACAAGTTTCGTATGATCGTCGTTTGTAAATTTTCTGCATATAATAATATTGAATTGTTGTTGTTGCTGTTGCTTTATTTAAGAGTGTTTTCCGTGTTTTTCGATATTGTATCGAAAACTCACGGGACAACATTTTAACGAGTCAACAAAATAGCGATTATTGTACGTGTCGAATCTTCCAGTAGCAATGCACAACAGGACGATGCTTGTGCAGCTGCTGCTGCTGCTGCCGCGGAAACAGCCGTTGAAATTGCTAACTCAGCAGCGGTCGTTTCAAAAAATCCGGAGAAATCCACCCCTGCCGTCAATCGTAGCGCAACAAGCTCAAACATCAATAGTAGCAATAGCAGCGGGGTCGTTATTACCTTACCGACAACATCGACGACGGCAACAACAACAGCAAAAAAAACCAATGCTCAGCCACAAAGTAGTACAATTACGACAGCTTCATCAATCAGTACTGCAACATCAGCGGCTGTATTACGACCACCTACTGTTAATACGGGCCAAAGCACTTCACAAGCATCTACAAAGTCGTCGTTATTTATCACGACCACCACTACACGACCATCGTCACCATGCTTTACTATTACAATTGCTACCCCAGCAGCTGCAGCAACAACAACTACAACAGCAACGGCAGCAGCAACAACAACAGCAACGACAATACCAACAACTACGGTTAACACAACGACGAAATCAACAAATACGTCAAATATACAAAAGGTGAGTTTACCGCAACGAACCAAACAAATGATGATAACCTTTGCTCCGTGCAAGTCTGGCTTTCTCATAATTGTCATCAATAATGGTTGCGCTCGTAGTAGTTGAAGCCGATCAGCGTTAACACACTAATAAAACGAAATACAAACTTAAGATACACGCAAAAGATTTGAAGAGAAGATCTAATCAAATAATAATAATAATAATCATAATAATAATAATTTATGTAATAATTTTTTAAGCGTAAGATTTCTTAATGAAAAAATTATTGTTGCATAGACAAATAAATTGAACAAATCAAAAAAAAAAAAAAAAAGGGGGAAAAACATCGGAAATTGAATTGAAAGAAGAGAATAGTGCTTACTTCCATTTAATGCCAGTTTACACAGGCCGGCATCTGCGCGCAAATCAATTTCTTAAATTTTATAATAAATTTTGATTATAAATGAAATTAAAAGATATCAGCCGTTCAATCACAAACTGGCCACGTTTTCCGCTTACTAACTTTTCCAAAATTATAGTTAATATCTTAGCATGATTTATTTGACAAAGTGAAATATGTAGCTTTCATAGTAAACGTTTTCTCCTCATACTGCTACATGGCGAATATGATGGCAATGGCACATTGGCGGTGATTTGACTTCTTAAACAATTAAAATTTTTTTTCTAAAACATATTCGAACAAACGAACGGTGATGAAGACAATTAGCGTTAGGAGCGTTAGGTTTCATTCATTCAGAAGTCTTTTGAAGCATAAGTCTCCTTGAATGAGTTTAAATTCTGCAAGATCCATTTAACTATTTGTTTTCAAACTCTGAAATAAAAAGTCAAGAACTTCAACGATCGAAGGCGATATAAAAATATATTGAAGAGATATTACTAGTTACTTAATTGATAAGCTCAAAGAAAACAAAAAATTATGATGTAATTTGCTTAGTATTTACCTGAGATCGACGATATCCGAGATTGAAATCATATTGGATATGTCTTTGCTTTCATATTACATGGCATTGCGGTACAATGCCCGCAAAGTTATTACAATTGCAAATTTTTAGTAAATAACTAATAATTATGTATAAAAACTCTTCCTCTTTGCGGCGTAGAGGAATACATTTTAGTTTTCTTGGTCTCAACAATTGCAATTCGTCTTAAATGTCGTTTACAGGGTTCTGAAAAGTTAGGAGCCATCGTTTTTCCTTCAACGCCCACTCAACAAATTTCGAATGCCACACCAAGTCCTACTACTCCCCGGAAGTCGTCAGATTACCCACAACAAGCAACCAGCACACCATCCACAACAACGAATACATCATCGAATTCAGGCTTAGTTGTTGGCTCAGTTTCTAATTCTCTACAGAAATCAAATAATGAACAATTACCAACATTTTCTGCCCCGTCGTCTGTTGGAAGTAATAGCTTATCAGGAAACAGTTCTCAAATTGGGGGGCCTATTGGAGGACCTTTTCAAGACAGTGTACCGCCTGCATCCGCGCCGAATAGCAGTGGAGGTACCAATATGGGTATAGTTACAGTAACACCGCCTTCGCATCCCGCATTTGTGTCGTCTTCGGTGTCAACCGTGCCATCGGTAACTGAAAAATCACCCCTAGGACCACCGCACATGGCGCCTACATTTTCTCCCGCTAATCAGGTAATGTTAAAAGAACATCATGTAAAGCTATTAGACAATTATAACGTGATTATATTTATTGCTGTAGCTTTCTAATGATCCGCGAAATGCTTTAACGTCACCCTCACCTTCGGGACCCTCAGCCATCCAGCATTCACATGGGGAGGGTCCTTTTGGTACCAAACATGTAACGAGTTCTCCATCTCCTGCGGCTGGTAATCATATGTCTCCCGCGTCGAATGCATCGCCACTGCCTGGTATGCATCCGAAGTCAACTGGTTTGTTACCACCTGCCGGCACAAATTCACCAGCTACTGGAATGCAACTGCCACTTGGCACCCAAATGCCAGTTTCATCTTCTGCGTCACCACTCCATGCTCCCGCTGGTGGTTTTGGTTCGACTGGTTCAATTAGCAGTAGATTAGGTCCACCACATCAACAGCACCCATTCGCGCCTTCACCTCTTCATTCCAATGCCTCATCGCTAATGTTAAAGCCGAACGAAGTAGAAAGCCGAGAAAAAAATTCTATGCACAACGTTCCGCAGCCACCACCAATAATGAATGGCTACTTACCATCATTTGTATCGACAAGCGCACAAAGCACGTCAACTAGCGGTGCATCTAGGATCTCGCCACATCAAAATGTTGTAAATATACCAGCTACAACCCCAGGACCTGGCTTACCACCTCCTCCACCACATCTGTCTGTGGCTAATAATTCAAAGTCCTCATTAGCCGTGTCGACATGCGCTTCACTGCATTCGTTATCTGTCCCTCCCCCACCCACATCCACTACTATGGCATCAGCTAAAATAGCTCACAGTAATTCTGGTAATATACCTCTCATGCAAAACTCTGCGGCGGGGTTTGTTCCAGGAGGCCTTCCACCAGGACTACCGCCTGGTGTTGCTCCGCCTCCAGGTATGTTAAGTGGAGCTTTGGGACCTAATGGCATTTCTCCTATGTTGTTGCATACATCACCATATCGCCCGCCATACTCAAACTATCCTCTCTATGCACCATACAGTAGTCTGCCACACAGTCCTTATTTGCCCCCCGCAGTTCCATCACCTAGTGCTTCTCCGCGAACTAGTCGGGAGTCTCCGATGATGACACAAATAGGAAAAACTTCCGGTATAAGACCTCCTACGCCAGTAAGCCAACCTTCAGTGTCAGTACCTTGTCAACTACCGGCTCCAGCAAATAATAATAATGGTGGCGTTAGTATTACAAGCAGTGCTGTTATAAGTTCTGTATCCACAGCGGCACCGGCACATACATCGCTAACAACAACAGGATCCTTAAGTAATCCTTTGCAAACGGGCTTACCGCCCACTAGCGTGGCTCCTCATTTGTTGCATCATCCTCACCTTCCATACCCCACATCTCTGCAGCTGACACAGCCGATACTTAGTGCTCCTCCCAATTTGCCGCCACCTTCGGTTAGCCATAGTCATACTATAGCCAATGTGACCACAACGACATCAGCGGTTACTCCCCTAAGTGCAAGTTTAAGTAGTGGCAATAGCATACCTTCGTCATCGCTCAACCGGGATGGTCCGCAATTATTACCTCCACCACCACCGCATTTGCTTACACACCCTCATCTTACTCAGCCGCACATACCGCCAATACCGTCGCATATGCTGCCACCACATCCAGCATTGTTGCGTGGAGCTTCGCCTACCACGGTCAATAACGGCAATCATTCTACAACCATTGGTGGGGTGCACACCACTCTTAGCAACACAACAATGGCGTCGTCTTCGTCGTCGTCTTCATCTGTGATCCATAAAGTGATTTCGCCGAAAAGCGAAAGTCCAAGTAAAGAGCGCAACGATGTTAGCTACAGGTACCGTTCGCCAATATATTTGTTAGGTGCTTGCGCTCGTAGATTTAACATATATTACATTCTTTTACTTTAGCAATATACCTCGTTCTACAACGGTTAATGCACATCTGAGCGGTCCCATAAATCCGCAAATAGGGCCATACGTTAGCGTACCTGGTTCATTGGTACAACATTCAGTTTCAATGGCTCCATCTAATGCTGCCTATAGTTCCACGGTTTCTTTGCCTAACACAAGTCATGCCACGGGCTTAGCTACAACTATTATGAGTTGTGGCCCACATCAAGCACCTAGTCTACCATATCCGCCAAAACCCACTTTATGGCCGACATCAAGGTTGCAACAAATGAAATATCTATTGCTGTTTCAATATATTTCATAAAATCCTATCAACTTTTATTTTCATTAGCTCATCGGCTTCAATGCCCATACCGCCTCCTTCATCGATGATTACCACTCATGCTTCAAATATGGCAGCACGACCAACACCTCCCCCTAGTGGTCCCGTACCGCCAACGTCAACAGCCGTAACACCTATTTCCGTATCACCGCATACTACACCACTGCATTCCTCCAACGTTCCTGGTCCTGGACCAAGCACCTTCCAACCACAATATTTTATTCCCCCTTTACCACCTGTTCCTGTAACAGTGGCTATATCTTCTATGAGCGTGGTTTCTGCAGTTAATTCTGCATCTATTTCCAATTCCTCAATGCAGCCACCAACAATTCTAACAACCATGGTTACAAGTGCACCAGCAACATCAACAACACAAAGTTCGGCTCCGCATCCTTTCTCAGCCGAATCTCTTTTCCAGCCAAGTAAAAGTAAGTATAAGACAAAATAGTTATTTCGCAAGCTTCTGCATTCCTTTATTTTTCAGATGCCCAAGCTGATTTGTTGCGTGAGTTAGATAGTCGGTTTCTGGAATGTAGTCGTAGTGGGATGTCGGTGCCACCGCCTTCAACACAACCAGGGCCTAGCGCTACTACACCGACGCCAGCAGCACCACCAACATCTGCAGCTCCAACCGCTGCGCCTGCGACAGTGCCGGTGGCTCCTCCACAACAGCCTCCAACAGCTCCTCATTCTTCACCGGCTGGTCCATCCGCCTATTTAAGGCAAGAACTACATCATCATCAGCATCAGCATACACATTTGCATCAACATCAACAGCTTTTACCGACTGCCTTAACGGCTGCACCACCCACAGCTCCAGCCCCCATGTTCCCACCTCCTTTATTCAAAGACATTCCCAAGATTGCTGCGGTGGACTCACCCTTTTATCGTACTGGTATTGGTCTTCCCGGCTATACTGGCTACAATCCTGCTGGTCTCCTGCATCCTGGTTTGGGAGGCCCTACACCATTCATGCCTCCCAGCCACTTGACTTCGTTTGCGCCAAAGGTAATTTTCTCGCTGTTGTTCTCTCTTCTTCTGTCTTTATACATGTTAAAGTAACTAAAAACTGAAGAGCCCATTACAGTACATTTGTCCACACCTCTTAGCATCACTCAATCATTTCTTCTTTCCTTTTTCATGTTCAAAAATATTGCTCTCTTATATACATAATAACTCGAACACACTTACACATATTAACCGAACAAATGAACGCTTATTAAAAAAAATTTAAACCAATAATCATCCATCCCATCATTCAGACGATACAATCATCACCATCGCCTTCCACAAATCCACAAGCACCTCAACCGCCATTACCAACGAATATTGTTGATTCTTCCTCTAAATCTATTAAATTTACGGTATGTTTATAAATTTTTCATCAAACCAAGCCGATCGAACTTTTTCTATAATTTTTTATTTGTTATTGTTATTAAATGTTCATGGATTTTTAAATCTTAATCATTATCATTGCAGAAAACCGGACGATGGAATGCTATGCATGTGCGTATAGCGTGGGAAATTTATTACCATCAAAATAGGCAAAATCCCGATAAATTAGCCACCGGTAGCAGTGGCAATAGTAATAGCGCATCTACATCTGTAGGTCCACAAGTTGGAAGTAGCACGGGCAATGCTGGCAGTGGAAGTGCAAATGTTACCCCTAACAATAACGTAAGCGTTTCACAAAGTGGCGTAGTGACGTCTCTTTCCAATTTAGGCGCAGGGCCTTCGCCGTCAGTAAGCTCGCTAAACATGAAGGCATCTCCGGCTTTAACGTTAAGTGCGGCACCTTCACCTCATTTACTCCATAGACCAGGAGAATTGCCACCAGCTGCAGCTTATGCTGGAACTTTACCGGGTCGATCTCCATTTGAAACATCACCTCTTTCTGCCAGTTTTATAGGTGCCCCGCCCAGTCATATTGGTATGTCAGGAATATACTGTGAGGACAACAATAACTTTCAATACAATCACTTAAACATATCGTAATTTTAGGTACTGCTGTTTCACCATTCGGTCGTTATGTCGGCCCGTTTGGTTTTGGTCTGCCACCGTTCGGTAGGGAAATACCGTTGGGTGGTACTTTACACGACCCCTGGAGAACGTGAGTTTTTTCGTTTTGATAACATTTATATATTAAAAAGGTACAATATATTTAGGGTGGCTTTGCCACGAACTGTGCCTTATCATACTGCCGCACCGGGGGCGCCGCCCGGTTGGCCAATGAAACCCGATACAACCGCTTTAGATAATGCTCGACGTGAGGCAGAGGAAAGGGAGCGTGAACGTGAACGCGAACAAAGAGACAGAGAACGTAGAGCACGCGAGCGCGAACGCGAAGAACGTGATCGTAAAGAAAAGGAGGAAAAACTTAAAAGAGAACAACAAGAACGGGAAAGGGAAAGAGAACGGGAGCGCGAACGTAAGGAAAAGGAACGAAGGGAGATAGAACGTCGTGAGCTTGAACGAGAACGTTTGATGCAACAGCAACGTATTAATGAGTCCAATAAGCTCTCACAGGCAGCAGCTGCCGCAGCGGCAATGAATACAGCTCGAGAGCGTTCGCCGCATCGTAGTGTCACCGATATGCAAGGAGGACCAGTAGTACCACAAGGACCAGAAATGCGTATCAAAGAAGAACACCCGCGTACAAAAGAAGAACAAGATGCAATGATGATGAGAGCATCTGCAGCGGCCGTTGCAGCAGACCCACGATATCATCAATCGTTGGCTGCTGCGCAAGCAAATGCGGCAGCAGCTGCTCATCATGCAACGTTTCTGGCAAGTCGTCATGGACCACATGGTCCGCCTCCACCCCACATAACCAGAACTATGATGCCTCCCACTCTAGCTGCTCCACCGTTAACGCATTTCGGGCCAGCAGCGCCACCAGGGTGGGCGATGGATCCATACCGGGATCCATATATGGGATTACGTTATAATCCTTTAATGGAAGCTTTAAGGCATGAAGAAGCAATGAATCATAAAGCAGCAATGAGTATGTATGCGGTTCAGACAGCAGCACACTTACGTGGCAAAGAGCCTTCACCTATACCTCCGCCAAGTAGTGTGGGTGGACCGTTGGGACCACACCATCGCCTACAGCCCGGTCCAATGATAGCACCGCCACAGGTACCTCCCACTTCATTAGGGGGCAAACCTTCCAACTTAGGAGTTATGCCTCATCCCATGTCCATTGATCCAATGTTAGCGCCTAAAAAGGAAGAATCACCAAGCGGAGTAATGGGTATGACATCAGCTTCTTCTTCGGCACCATCAGCAGCTACCCCAGGTCGATGATAAATCAATATGCTAGAGCTTTCGTAGTTATGACTATAAATCGCAATAGAGAGAATATTAGAAGAAAAGAGAAAATAAGAAAAAAGAAATATTTATCAACATATATAGCAAGAGACCAATAATTCTGAAAGACACAAAGCATTGTATTATGTATGGAAACAAATTTTGTTATCGTTCTTGTGAATTGTATATATGCGAAAATTGAAATATTTCTATTAGGTCATTTTGGATAAAATACCTTTGAAAAAATCGATTACCGAAAGAATGTATAAAAGAAAAATTGAGTTTTAAAGAAAAGAACACAAAAGCTCACTCACAAGTAGCTTAAAGATAATTCTCTCTAAATAGTACCAACTCTACTCATCGCCTCAATTTGCTTATAAACGTTACTAAATTGTAAATATGGTTATCTATGAAACCCTTTAGTTGTTTAGAATACAAGGAAGAAAAACAGAGAGAAGGAGTCATGTAGAAAACACAAGGGCAATAATAGCGTCGATATCGTAAAAAATTGAAATAGGAAAAAGTACATACTAGGTATGCTACGGGGTAGGCCGCAACATATAAGCATATACTCTTAAGCATACTCTTCATTCGCTCGTTTTGTATATGTATGTATGTATATATGCATATATATATTATACACATATATATATTATTTCTACATGTGTGTATATCTATATACATATATACCCATAATTATATATATATATATATATATATATGTATATATATATATATATAAATACAGTTATATATATATATATAATACATTAAGTATATATATTAATAAAAAACTTTATATTTAAATGTTTGTATATTAGAAAAATAGGGACACGTTGCATATTTAGAACATTTGTATTATGTGTAAAGTTTTCTTTCTCTCTTTTATTGTAATTATTAACATTTAATAAAAATATATTTTTAAACAAAATGCAATTAAGAAAAACAAATGTATAAAAAAGTACTAAATGTTTATTTAAAATATAAATAAAATATAAATTGAAAATTACGAAAAATTAAAATTTGTAAAAATTGTCTTTTTTTCATAAGTATAATCATAGAATAATTATGATATATATATATATATATATATATATATATATACATTTAGATATAGGTATAAACTTGTGTAGATATAAATGGTAGTAATAAAATTGTCTAATTTTGCGCATTTTTTCCTTTTATAAGCTAATATGCATCCCTTCACTCCCTGCAAAGAAGAACTTTTCTTTATTCTTAAAAAAAAACAAAAAATAAATAAATGAAAATCTTTCAAATTTATTCACATAAAGTTAGGCTTTAAAGTATTTATATAGAAATGATATGCGTATATATATATATATATATATTTGTATATATGTATACATATATATATATATATATATATATATACTATACTTTTTTTTTTTTTTTTTACTATATATATACTATATATACTATATATACTTACATATATATATATATATATATATAGAACTTGTTTACTATAAAAAAAAATTAAAATTACATACAGATGTATGTACAAAACACACAAAGTATGATTAATTATAAAAAAATAATTTAAATTTAAATATAAGTAGCTTTACGATAATTTATAAAAAAAAAAACAATTATGTTTATAGAGCAAAAACTCAACTAATCCAATTATAAAAATGGCAAAAAAAAGGAAGAAAGCGAGAAATAAAATATTTTTTTTTTGGCCAATATACCTATAGAAATATACTTTCATCTAAACACAAACACATACACAAGGTAACGACTTCCATGTATATGTATATACGTTTGTGCATGTTAACTATATACATACACACACATACGCTAACGTATATATGTATGTATATGTATGCATATATGTGCATATATTTATATATATATATATATCTATATATATATATATATGGTATAGATATAGATATGTATATGGTATATATATATGTTATATATATATGTATATATTATCACATGTACATGTATTTGTATACAATTATTTATATATTTCTGTAATTAAAATTCAATTAGAACTATAATAAAAACACACAAGCATACTTACATACCAAGAAAATCACACAAACATAAAAAACAGAAATATTATTATATTAAAACAAAAGAAGAAAATAAGAGAAAAAAGTAACAAATAGAGAAACAGTACTATATATATTAAAAAAATTGTCGCTTACTAACTGAACGATAGGCAAGAAACTGCAAAGGTAAGTGTTGAATAGTAAACAATGTTGACGGCTAATTAATATATAGGCAAAGTAAACGCACGAGTCAACCGTTGTAAAATCTTACAAATTTTTACAATTAAAAACAGAGACTTATGATTTATGTTATGCCATCGGCAGTCTGTGAACGCACAGTATACATGCATCCTCATCAGCGCTACAAAAGGGTTTAAAGTGAAACTACCATTAAAAGAGATTTTCGCTCGAATTCAAGATTTTTAATTATTATTTGCTTTTATATGTACCAAAGTATCAAATGCGTTTAATGTCTCCACAAACTCGTCTGCCTTGTGGTCGTAATTCCAACCTAAAAATTGTATCATGATCTCCAAGTACGACTATAAGACCACTTTTCAAATATGATCTCATCCATTATTAATAAAAATTCTAAAGGTAACTTCTTTGCCATTTCTCGCACTTCTTGTGTTATGTGATCTCGCCAATGCATTAAATGCGTTAAATTCCTCCTAACCTTCATTTAGGTTATGTGGTCACAGATTTGTACGATCACTTTGGTTTTTTTCGTAATCCTAATAACGAAAAAATCTCTATTTGAACATGCACGTGAGTACCGACAAACATTTGGATAACGGGTTTTCCGAAATGTTTACAAGAATGAAAGTTATAGACAAAAGTATGAAAAAATATCCAATGTTGTCTCTGGGGACATGTATGTGATTTGATCATAATAACTATTTAATCTTGGTTTCTGAATCGATGAAGGGATGCTTGTAACAAATTTCACTCTCCTATGTTCAATTTCGCGACTGTGACAATTCGACAAAAAAAGAGGATCAACATAATCCTTTTTGGTTGATTGGTTGTAAAACAAGTAAGCAAGTTATATTCGGCTAGGGCCGAAACTCGCATAGCCTTTACCACTAAAATCATTGGCACCCCTAGCGTTTACTTATTGTCATAAAATGGTGAATGGGATACAATTTATATTTCACCCTTTACCTCACTAAAAGCTATTGTTAAGAAAAATTAAGTCTATCGTGACGTTTACCATAATTAATTTAGAATTAACATACTTAGCTTTTCGCATAAAACTCTCCAAATCGTTTTATTTCATATCCCTACGGACGGCATCTTTAATAAAAAATTTATTCACGATGTCGCGGCGTCCACCACAATTAATTTAGAATTAACACAATTAGCTTGTCGCATTCTACTCCCCGCGTCCTCTTATTTAATACCCATATCGCTGATATGGGATTAGAGCTAACGCATCTTTTTGGCCGATAGATAATATACCTTCATCTGAGGAATGTACAAAATAGTTTTAAACATTGTCTGTCTTGTTTACCTTACGTCTAATAAGCATAAAATCTCGAAAAAGTGAAAAAAAGAAATTTTAAACGCTTGTAACCTTGCTTGGGCGTGGCCGATTTGTTTCAATTTTGCACGTAAATTGTGGAGTTTTTCGCAAAGTAAATCCGAAAAATTTCAATTTTCTATCCTTTATGTGTAATGAGCAAAAATCGAAAAGTTTTTTGTTTAGAAAAACAGAGTTGCGTTCAGCTAACGCTTCACTGCGGACTCGTGCTTTCCAATGTTTCTACCAAATTTGAAGTCAATATTTTAATTTTTGCGATCAGGAGAGTGTCAACAACACACACCACACAGATGGAGAGACATGGCTTATTTAATTCAGAATTTGATGCTGATCAAATATATATATATATATATATTATAAGTTCTTTGAAGCTTGGTTTTTGGTCTTGCACACTTAGTGGCGAATTGCCTATACCCCTAAAAAATGATTTTGAATATTCAAAATTTTTTTCATCGAAACGAAAACCACTAATAAATTTTGGAACATTGCGTGCCTTATAAATGATACACTCGACAGTTTACCTGTTTTACGATATTATTATATATAGGTGAACCCCTTTTTATACCCACCACTGTAAGATGGGGGTGTCCTGATTTTGTTTTTTCCCATAATGCTTGAGAGATCCTATATAGTGGATATATTCTTTATCAGCGTGAAATTCTGAGCTGATTTAGCCATGTCTGTCGGCCGTGTGTCTGTATGTCGGCGGCACTCCCCTTGCCGCAAAAACTAAGATATCGACTTCAAATTCGATCGACTTATTGGAAGTTTCTGTACGCAGGTTGGTATTGAAAATTGGCCAAATTGGTCAGACCAGAAACTCGCAGTGGAGCGTGAACTGAATGTAACTCCGATTTTTTTAATAAAATTTTTTTGATTTTTGCTCGTTACTCGGAAATCGTTAAGGTTAGAAGGTTGAAATTTCCCATATTTCCTTTACGTCAAAAAATGGAAACAATCCGCCGCGCCCACACAAAGTTACGGGTAATTAAATTTTATTTTTTTCACATTTTTGAGGTTTTATGCTGATGCGAGATTCGACCTCCGCCAAATATAACTTTCTTACGTTTTCATTTTCTATTCATTGTGATATGAAAAGGTTACGCGTAATGTACAAAGAAAATGTAATCGCGCATGAATTGAAATTTGCTTTTCCTAATTTTCTCAATTTACCGACTTTATATATCTATGAAATATTTGCAGTAAACTTTGGACTTATACGACTGAGAAGTCGTAAATTATTGATATTGACAAAGCGATTTTATAATATCTGGCGTACGCAAATTGCATTTATTTTTGAATTTTATGCTAGGTATAAAAGATGTGGAAATAAGGAAGCATCGTGTGATTAAGAGTGCAGAGTTCCTCTACTCCTTATATCTCATGACTATCTTACTCAGTTCGATCAATGCTTAGGGGAATCTTTCGGCCCCTTGGTTGATGTTGACAAACTTAATGCACTCAGTTTAATTTATAAGTGTAGTTTCACTTTTCAAATAGTTAATGTCGAAAACTGTCAAATTTTGTTTTTTCAAACCAGCATTTCAACGAACTTTTTCAATAGCAACAATTTATGTCGAGGAAATAAATTTTGGGAAAAATAACAAAAAAGCTCATTAAAACCTTTTAGCCCCTTTAAGCTATGATTAGAGCAACTAAATTGGTGCGTAAAACGATTACGAAATGGCCTTCCGCCACAAATACACTTCTCATAATAATAAAGCATTGTTCCGATTGCAGGAAGATTCATCGGGCAAGAGGACCAAAGAGCGTGCATTCAACGCGCTGCTTTGGCCAGTAGTAGTTGGAGCGATACTGTTCGATTTGTTAGCATTGTGCAATTTAGTGCCAACGCATTCACAGCATTTATACAGACCGTACATGCTGTCCGGTGTGCAGTTTAAGGTGTTTAAAAATTAATGTATAATTATTTTGATCATGTTTGCAATTAGATTCATTATTTTAATAAACATAAACCGTCTTAGTTGAAAATATGTTGCATTTATAAAAGTTTATTGCGTTAATGTTTCTTCACCTCCATTAAGAACTTGTCGCACATTGATATTGATACGAGAATCTTGAAGATAATTTTTGTAGGGCAGCCAAAACGCTTCATTACAAACTCGTTCGTATAGCGTAAGGTCCATTGAACATTGTACGAATTCCGTGTCATTACATTTTACTTGGGCAAAATCCTTGTGTACTCGTCGGTCGGCAGTTTGTTTTAGTAAATCCGAAGGACTTGATGTTATGTACTCATTCCACGGCTCATCACGGGCTTTCATGATGCGAGGTACCGCATGATAGCAAAGTCGGGATTCACATGTCATAATTAAAATATCTCCGCTCTCTAGGAACAAAGCGGTGGGTTTCACTTGAAGTGTCAAACCACCTATGAGAAAAATGGCTGTTTGGCCAAAGCTGAAACGTAATTTTAAAATAAACATATTGTGTCAAAGGAAGTATTGCAACAGACCTAAACGAAAATAAAGGTGCTTCTTGATTAGGTTCTGAATGATCCGTATGTCCCGATAAAGTGCTACCAATGGGATAGTAATTTACTATGGCTGCCTGAGCTTCAAATGTCTTGTAGCCCAAGATTTGTGCAAAGAAGTTACACATTTTTTCCAAATCTTTTGGGAAATTACTATGGAATTGTTCACTATACACTTTAGTATCCCAATTATGTTGATAGCCCATTGTACTCCAACGCATGGCATTTTTTAAACGCTTAACATCATCTTTATGACAGCACTGTTGTAAAGCTGACCACCAATCTTCTATAGCATCGCGGGAGAAAAGACTCTCGTTGAGATTTACACGATTGGGATGCTTGGGAAAGTCTTTTAAACAACGAGCCATCCAATAACGCTGCCCCTGTGCAGTAAAAGCATTCCGTATCATTATTAGACCCGGATGCTTTGGTACAATATAACACTGCCAATTGCATATCGGTTGCACGCCTAATGGTAATCCAAAATTAACATAATCCTTATTTAAAGGAACCCTTGATATTAATACCTAAATCATTTCAAAGTGCAGAACTTATATATCGATAATGATATAAGAGATGTTTAAAATTTTGTAACCTCCTTTTCGGATTCTCTTCTCTTAGTTTCTCGAAAATCGATAACATTTTTGAAATCAGGTATTGGCCACTTGGATTTGTAGTATTTGAAATATTCTCTAAACATTACAACATTAAAAATAAATAAAACTCTTCTTCTTTTAGTTAAAACACTTAGCATAACCTGATAGCTTTTCTTTTGTGAGGGAGAAGTCCGTCGTGTCCATCGTAATTGTCACTATCGTCATCTCTTTTAATCGTCTCTGAGCATCGCTGGTTGTTTATAAAAATTGCGAAATTAATCTCTAAAATAATTTAATTCATTATTAAAGTGAAGTAAGTGAAGTGAAGTGAAGTATCAAGTAATAAAATGTCCATATCGCGCGATTACTGCGAACTAGATAATGATAAAAAACTTATTAAAATTGTTGAAAATTTCGATAAGAGTTTGGATGAAATTGAAAAATCTTTATTAGCCGCCGTTCAATTTGAGAACTATGAGCATCTGGCCACCGAAGATAAGGTGAAATTCGATAATTATGTGGTTTATTGCACTAATTCATTGTTTTGGATGCATGTTAAATTGCAAGGCGAAGATGCAAATGAGGTAAGAATGGCAAATCAAAAATTACATTATTTTATGAGTAATTTTTATATTATTCGTTGACAGCACGCAATCAAAGCTGAACTAGCACGTGTGCGTCAGACCATTTTAAGGGATAAGGAAATTTATGAACATAAAACTATACGTCCCGTAGTGGATAAATCCGCTGCTGCACGTTTTATCAAACATGGCCTACATATATACGATAGGCCAATTGTGGATGCCCAGGAAGATTCCAAAATGGAGGAATGAAAAAACAAATATAGTAAACGATATTACCCCCTAATGTAATTAATTATTAGAGACAACGACTTGCAAGGGCTGTTTTGTCGTCATTTTAAGAAGACTGAAGTGTTTATATATTTTATGTTATATAGATGAAATAAAATATTTCCCAAAATCAATGAGGCTATGGTAATTTGCATTCACGCGGAACTACGCAAAAGTTTGGACACCGCTTGGATTCGAATCGTTTGCTTAACCGTTATGAATAATAATAATTGGCCGAGAAGCGCAGGCTTTCGATTAACGAATAATTTTCATAAATGGTTTGATTTTTATTGTGAGTTTGTAAAAAAGTCTTTTCTTCCTTTTACAAAAATAAAAATAGAATGGATCGAACATACTTTTAAAATATTGGCCAAAATTCCAGCATCATATTCTTTGAAATCAATTCATTTCTTACAATCATGTGCAATGTCATAATATTTCGGTTTGAAAAAAATCGTAAAAAAAATAAATAAAATATAATATGTAGAAATGTTTAAACCGCGTTCGATAATCGCGTTAGCACTTTCACTCTTGGTAGCGTGGTTATGCTTTGCACGTCCATTGCCCATTGTCAACACTAATATATTCGTAATGCGTAAACATTTCTTTCCGATACGTGAAACCAAGAAGGAAAACCAATTCTCAGCCAAATATTCTAAACTCAAACACCTGGAAAAAACGCTCATTTTGCGATCAACTAATAATATTTTCAAATCATGTTAACATGTATACTTCTATTGACAATTCCTCAAATCAACCAAATTTATGCATGGGTTTTTTATCTCTCTCCGCTGTAATTGAGATTTGCTGCAGGCAGGTATGACCTTTGAAGTTTGAATATTTCCTGTCAAGTATTCATATGAAGCCCAATTAATGAATCTCTATGAGTCCGTGGCCGTGTATTGTTCAGTTCGTCTCTGGATACACAGCACATTCTATTTGTATCAATGCCTTAGAATATTCCTAAATTAACATTATATAATTTGTTTTCTCATTTCGTTCCTTTCTTCTGTCAGCAAAATGAAAGTAAAATTATATGAGATGACCGCTTTTATTTGGAAATGTTTCAGAACTTGTGTGTTTTTTTTATTTTATTCGTATATCTTTGTGGACATTTCAACACAAAAAAAATAAGTAAAGTTAAAAGATATTTATATATGTATGGTAATTCCCATTTTGTTAAAAAAATATTAAGATGGGTGGATGGTGAGAGTCACAGTAGCAGGCAGTTTCATTTCCATTTTTGTAAATGCTCAGCTTCTGTGCGTTAAACAGCAATATTTCCCTTTTGTTGATTAGACTCGAAATTTTATTTAAGCATCCTTGCTTTGCATATATTTAATCAAATCAATTACACGATTCGAATATCCAAATTCGTTATCGTACCACGAAATCAATTTGACAAACTTATCATTAAGAGGAATGCCCGCTTTGGCATCGAATACCGACGAATGAGTATCACTAACGAAATCAGTGGATACTACTTCTTCTTCGGTATAATCAAGAATGCCTTTCATTGGGCCTTGAGAAGCTTCCAAAACTTTTGCCTTAATTTCATCGTACGTGGCGCTCTTGCCCAATCGCACAGTCAAATCGACCACGGAGACATTGGGTGTGGGTACACGAAAAGCCATACCAGTAAGTTTACCATTTAATTCAGGTATAACTTTGCCAACGGCTTTCGCGGCCCCGGTAGAAGCGGGAATGATATTTTGAGCGGCACCGCGTCCGTCACGCCACAATTTCCCGGATGGCCCATCAACAGTTTTCTGAGTAGCGGTCGTGGCATGTACCGTGGTCATTAAACCTTCAACAATTTCAAAATTGTCGTGAATAACTTTGGCCAAGGGGGCCAAACAATTGGTGGTGCACGAAGCATTTGAGACCACTTTCATGTCCGGAGAGTAAGCCCCCAAGTTAACTCCGCACACGAACATAGGAGCATCGGCCGAAGGCGCTGAAATGACAACTTTCTTGGCACCGCCTTTAAAATGAGCCGACGCTTTATCAATGGTGGTAAACACACCGGTGGACTCGACAATGTACTCAGCGCCAGCGCTGGCCCAATTAATATTAGTAGGATCACGTTCACAAAAAACGGTAATTTTTTTGCCATTTACCACTAAGAAACCGCCATCAGCAGCTACAGTGCCCTTGAAACGACCGTGAGTTGAATCATATTTGAACAAATACACCATGTAGTTGACATCAATAAATGGATCATTAACAGCAACTACTTCGGCTCCTTTGTCTAATGCGGCACGCAACACCAAGCGACCAATGCGACCGAAACCGTTAATACCGATTTTAGACATATTTGTGTTATCCTATTTAATAATCTTAGATGTAACAAAATTGAAAAGATTAATAACGCAATTACAACCGCACCTCACAATATGCTTGCAGAGAATAACTGTGCAATTCTTACAATAAGTTCACTATTCAGTTTCTTATTCAATGTCATATGAAGGGCAAATCATTTATCTATCTACTAAAATTTCCTAACCGGTTGACAATTTCCTATTGTTAGAGCGGTACAGCTAGCTGATTCAATGGAAATTTTTTAACGAATCGTTTAGTCATAAGCTGTTCGATTAGTTTGGCTTGATTGCAAGTCAACTTGTTAATAAGTAACGTTAGGTAGCGATAAATTACATGATTTAAACATAGATAGATCCAGTTGGTAATATCGGCCGATAGTTTATTTAAAAATGCTACTCGTTTACAAAACTCTTCTAGCTGATTAAACATTTTTCATACATAAAGCTTGCACATAGGCAGTTAATTACCACTTAACGGAAACGTTTAATAGATCTTCGTCGAATTTTATTATGTGAATTTGAGAGTAGCGGTCCTTTTATAGGTAGCGATTTAGCGACTTGGCGAGTAGAATGAATCCAATAGAAAGATGAAGAATGAGTAGAATTAATGAAGAAACAGTACGATTACTTTCAAGGAAAGTTTAAGAATTAAGAAAACAAAAGCGCATCGTGGACGCTGTAACATTCATATTTTAAAGCTCATCCGCTTGAGTGGCCGAAAGTGAGGAATCTCGACTAGCATGTCAATGATCGTGGGTTCGAATCTCAAGTGCGGTAGAGTTTTTAATAAAAAAGCCGATAGCCTTAGATGCTAGTACTTTTAAGAGTTTAGTATTAGAATTTATTTCTCTGGCGAAATTAATAATAATAATAATTTTAAAGCTAATTATTTTTCATTCAATTCACTTATTTAACCCTTTCTCGGCCAAAGTATTGATTAACTGATTCTTCACATTTTTCAATATTATTTCATTTTTTCCCTCTCTGTATTTGCTTAAAGCGCTCTTTAAATCCGCAAATTTTTATGCACTAGAAAGAGAGCAGATTCTCTTTAGTAATTCCATGTTTTTACTTACCTTCTTAAATTTTTAGAGCGATTTCTTCTCTATCAATCACTGTAGTTGTTATTGTGCTTCATAATTCATAAATTCTTCCTAATAACTTAAAAAAATTTGCTTTCGTTTGTTTTTATTATGATTGTTGGTTTTTGAGTTTTATATAAGTATGTATGTAATCTTTTAATTAAAAAAAAAATTTATACACATTTGAAGTAAAAACGTTGTGTTTTTTTTATTTACAATATATTTATTTATTTATTAGTATTTTTTTTATGTACAATTTTTGCAATTTTTGCTTTTTTTTTTGTTGCAAAAAAATTAAAAATTCAAAAAAACGATATTAAAAAACGAATTAAACGATATTCATAATATTATACAAGACTTTATAATAAACATTATTCAGTGAGAAATATTAGCAATCAAAGGAGGTGGAAAGTAGGAAAGAGATAATATATGTAGATTTTACCGAATAGTTTAATGACTTCCTTATACTGATCTTGAAGGAATTTTTCTCTAAACGCACAAAAGCACAAACGTTGTTGTTCGTATTATTCGTAAAGCAGATGGATGCGCCGATATTTTAATCAAGTATGAGCTTATGAGCTTACTGATGTCCATGGAGTTTAATAATTAATTCTGTTAAATCAAATTGCTTTGACGATCTGTCAATTTACGAAAACCTTTGCAAATGTGCGCATATAGAAAATTATTCGAATTACATTTAAAAAATTACCAGACTGTTTGTACAGATTTATCTATAGAGGTAACAGTTTACGAAATGAACGCAAAACACAGTTGCCGTCACTTGCGCTAGCACTATTAGGGATTAATTTCCCTTTGTTTTATACTAGTTACAGTTGGTGTGAAAAACTGAATGCTTTATCTGAGGAATAAGAGTACCTTGGAAATGAAATTCATTTTTGAAACCTTTCAAGTGTTTTTTTTTTTTTTTATTAAAACATTTATTAATGAATTTTTATTTATTTTTTTTTTCTATTTGCTTAATATTTACGAGAAAATAATTAACAATTATGAATTAAAGTTTACCATCAATTTTATTTTTTTTTGTATACATGAAAAAATTTTTTCTCGTTTTTTTTTTGACCGCCCACATCTTAGTTAGGAGAATGCTTTACGAATTCATAATTGAGATAATTAATTTTCAATTTTACTGATATTTATGTAGTGTGTAAATAAAAAAGAATGAAAAAAAAAAAAAAAAAATTCGCCCCGGGACGAATATTTAGTACCCACCACCTAAAATTAATGTATTAAAGTTTGTAATTTGACAATTTTTGCATTGAATTTTTAAAATATCTCCGATATATATTTAAGATTAATAATATCTAAGGTTTACGAATTGTATTTCTCGTAGGTTGTTGTAGGTTGTCATGCGAGTGTTTTTAAGGGCGGACTGCGATTAAGTTTTAAACTTGCTCGGGCTAATCAACGTTCAAGCGATAGATAGATGGCCCGACAGACGGATAGATATGGGTTAGTTCGTGGATGTGGAGTGCTATCCTAATCAACATATTATATATATTTTAGGGGGTCTGTGATATGTATTATCGGAAGTTAGTCTCGCAAGTACAAGTTCAGTGTACCCTCATTCCTCGGTGGCGGATATATAAAAAAGTTGATTTTTCAGTTTTTGTTTTGTTTTTTTTTTTCCATTTTTTTTCTTTAAATGATCACAAATGTTGAGTTTTTTTTTGTTTTTTGGTTTCTCTTTCCTTTTTCTTTTTATTCTCTTCAAACAAATAGTTCGTTGAAATTGTGTTTTGTATTTTAGAATTTTGAGCTAAATTTCTTTTATAAATAGTTAATAGTTGTTTTTTTTATTTTTTTATAAAATTTTACTGAGTTGCACAAACGTTTGCTTGTAAGTATATTCATTATTAAAATAGTGTTTGTTTTTTCATTGTATTCTAACTAGAGTTTAAAAAAAGTTGTTTTGAGAGTTTTCTACGTGTACAGAATTCACATATAAATCTTGAAAAAAAGGCTTCATTTTGATATTCAAAACAGTTTTACTATTCTTCTTTTTTTTTTTTTTTTTGTTGATGCTATTCTTTTATTTTTTATAATTCCATCGAAATATGAATAATAAATAACAAATATTCTTTAGCATATCCTTGTATGTCTTTTTTTTTTTTCTTTTTTTTTTTTGGCATTAGATGTTACGTACCAGGGTTTGATTAATTGCGAAACATAACATTATATGCTATGTCTGCATTAACGAGAAAATTTTTTCATCTCCTTTTTTACTACAGGTTTACCATTATTGCACAGACTCGAGATGAAAAGATGCAGCTATTGTTGTCTTTCAGTTTTGTGACCTGATAAAAGATTTATTGATCCGATACTCTAAAGTTGACATTTAAAGTTACGAGTAAAATGTGGAGTAAATCTCAATTGCATATACACACGAGCATGCAAGCACGCTTATATCGACATTTTATAACTATTCATTCGCTTTAATGATTATTATTCGCCTCTTAATGATTTTATTTTTAGTATTTGGTTAAAATCTTGTCTTGAAGCGATTGAAAAACTACGGATCATATAATCCATACATGGGAAAGCGCTTTTGCGATTATTCGCTAATTCAATATCTTAGATTAGAGTAAATTCGTTCAAATAAACTACTCGATTAAATAATTTGTACCTGTCTTTTTTTTTTTTTTTTTTTGCTTTACGCTATGCTCTGCTGCGCTGCGAGCTTTTCTCATTCGACATTTCAATTTTTGTTGTCTCGAAGACTAGAAATAACTATGAAATATTTTGTTACTTTGAAATTCACTACCTCTTATTCCCCCTTCTCCGATTACTTCCTTCTTAGGCTTATTCTTATGCTTTCTCCCCTCTTATATATACCTGTATAGGTGAACAGTGCAATCAGGCGCGATTGAAAAGTGTGCAAAATGGAAGAAAAATCATTAAATCATTTTTAATGCTTTTTGTTAACGCACAATTAATTACATTGTTTAAATGAGAATGAATAGTTATAATATATATATAGTTTATGCGATTTTTTTTTGGATATAGAACGTTTTAAGCTATCTGCTTGCTTCTCCCTCTTTATCTATATGCGAAAAGGACAAGCCTGCAGCTTCAAAAGATCCCATCTAGTAATTCTCTTACGTTATTTTAAGAGATTTACATAGTTACTATATGGGATTTAGTGTCTTCTAATAGAAATATATAAGTTGTAAAAATTTTTCTTGAGGTTTTTGTGTTTCTTCCTTTCGTTTTATTTACGTTTTTTTTTTTTTTTTTTTTTTTGAATAAAATTATTTTGGTTTTTTCCATTTCAATTTTCATTGATTTATTTCATTAAATTTATATATAAATTACATCTATACAATGTGATAACAAAGAGTAAAATACAAATTAATGGTAACAAAACTTATTTAATTCTAAAGTACAAAAAAAAAAAAAAAAGGAAGAAAATTCCAAACATATTTCACCAACAATTCAGGAGCAATTGAATCGCGATTTCCAACAGTCGAAGCATTTTGAAAAACAACTTCGATTCGTTAATAAATTTATATTCAACGAAACACATACCTGCATTACAAATGTTTTCACTGTTCGACCATTTTCGAGGAAAGATTTCAAATGACTGGACGAAACGCATAAGAAAAACTACTTTTTTCAATTTGATTTTTTTCTTTTTTAAAGAGAGCCACAGCAGAGTAGTTTCTTTTGAATTCTTTTACAAGAGAACTTGCATTTCGTTTATGCAATCTCTGTATTATAAAGTTTATAAATTAAAAAAAAAAACAAAAAAAAAAAACAGAAATAGAATAAAAAAGTTTTTTTTTCGCTTTTTTTTTCTTATCTTTTGCTAATTACAAAAAAAAAAAAAAAAAAAAAAAATCAAAAATTTATGTCATGAAAGTAAGAGTAAAATAGAAAAAAACTCTTAGAAATTAGCGTAATTAGAAATTAATTTCATTTACGGTAAATTGTAAATGAAAATAATTGTTCAGAAATTTAAAGATAAAAGAAAAAAAACAATATTTTACTTTCAGTTAATGTAAATAAAGTTTAATGATTTTGCTTAACAAAATCTTAACTTCAGCAATAAAACAATTAACATTAAATTAAAAATATAATTACAACGACAAAGGGGAGCAGCAAATGTACTTGAGAAAAATATTCATTTTTGAATTTAAAGCAAATCAATATGAGAAAAATGAGCTCTTAATTATATTTGTGATATATTTTATTCTTTTAATTTCTCTAAGTTTTCCTCTTTTTTCTTTTATTATTAAATAAATATCTGGTTCAATTTGTGTTAAAACATCTTCTCTTTTGTGTGTAGTTTATTTATTTATTTATTTCTTTTTTCTCTTTTTACTTCTTTTATCTCTCATATCTTAATTTAAATTTTTCCTTGTTTGCTGTTTCTTATTTTCAGTGTTTTTATATTTATTTATTTTTTTTTGTTTTGTTTTTTCTTTTTCAATTTCTATACAAAAAATATATGTCATACGCAAGTATTTAGAAAAAAAACTCATCTAATCAGGTTCACAATTGTTGTGGTTGTTGTTGTTGTTGTTGTGGCTTTCGTTAGACTTTGCTATTATCCGTATACAAGATATGCTAGAATTGTTGCTGGGCGCTCCTGTATTAGACTCCTTTGCTAAAGCCTGACGTAACAGCAAGTATTGTTTATCATCTAAAATTCGAGCATTATTGTTATCATTATCATTATTATTATTATTATTATTATTATAATTATTATTTTTATTATTATTATTATGGGTAATAATGACAGCCGATGTCGAGCAGGAGGGTATAGTGTTAATTTCATCTTTTAACACTTCATTTTTGTCTTCTTCTTCATTTGCTAACAAATCAATGTCTTGCTGGTGCTGTTCATTCACTGATTCTTCTTGTTCACTTGCCGGTATAAAATCTTCTAGCGTATGGGGTTTATCTCAATCGTTTTTGGTTTGACAATAAAGTTCTTTAAGAGACTTCAATTCTTCGATAAGAGCTTTATTTTGGTTTTCCAGCACCGCTACACGATTCTCTAGGCACTTAATATATTCTTTCTTTTTCCGACGACATTCGCGAGCCGCTTCTCGATTCTTTTGCAAACGTATTTCGCGTTTGCGGGACTGATCTTCAGCTATGACATTATTATCTAAAAACCGTAGGGAAAAGGAGAAAATTATTTTTATATATTTTTTCCTTTTAATTCGAGTCGATTTTAAAAAGAGTTATTAAAAAGAAAGAAAAGAAAAAAAAAAAAAAAAAGAACAAAATAACAAGAACAAAAAGAATTGAGATAATTACTAGAATTATATGACATCCTATTGGGTATATAAAATGGCGGTGTATTCTCGGGCGGTAAATGTATTAGGGTAGCAGTTGCGGGGCCTGTTGCACCAGTTGCCAAGGCGGGTAAACCAACATTTTCTGACATTTGCAAATTTGTGCCACCTTTAAGTGTTTTTTTTTTTTTGTTTATTTATTATTGTTTTTTGTTGTTGTTGTTGTTTTTTTTTTTTTTTTAGTTTTATTGTTTTCCGATATTTACCAAATGTAAGAGTGAAGTGTTTTTGGAGTTTTTTCAAATAATTTTTGTTGAAAAATTATTTTGAAATTCATAAAACCAACCAAAATGTTCCATAATTATTCCCGAACAAAAGATATATATAAGAAAAGGAAAAAGGATAAAAAAAAAAAACAGAAGAAAAGAAAAATCTATTAATTTAAAAAGAAGTTCGTTTTGTTTAAAAAAAAAGTTATTGTTTGTTAAGATTATGTTAAGAAATTTATGATCAACTTTTTTTTTTTTTTTTAAATGCTATATGCAGGAATGAATGAAAAATTATGAAAGCTTTTTTCGTTAATTTTAGCGAAATTTTCTTAATTTTATATGACGACCAAAGCATTGGTATTACACTAAGTTATTTGGCTTCGCTTACGACGTCTACCTAAGACACACGGTTTTCTTGATTATCTCAAAGTCGTGATCTGCCTAATTATAGTCGTTCGTAACCTCATTGCCCTGTCTAAATCTATACCCAAAAAAGTAATTATCAGGTATGTTAAATATTTTCATCGTCAATATCGATACTGACTTAAATTTTTCAAAAAATAATTCTATAGGCCATCTAAACCATTAGTATGCGAGCAGTGGATGGGGGCCTTGGTTGTTTGTATGTTTTATGCATATATTGCTTAAACATTCCTTCGAAAAGGAATTTCGTTTTTTAATAGTTTCTCGCAACAAGTGTGTGTGTGTGTGTGTGTGTGTGTGAAGCGTTTATAAGGATTTTTTATAGGAACACTCCTTTGTCTTAAAGTTATGTTGTATTGTGGTATTTATTGTAGTTCTTTTGGCTGTTTTTACCATTAAGCCACGGATGAGGTCACACCCTGTCTTATGCGCGTTAACTGTGAAATTACAATTCTTATAATCGTCGCGAACAATATCTAATGAGAAAATATAAATCGGCCAAATAGTTATTCAATTAAGCACTCCAAGAGCCTTATTGACGGAATTTATGGTTTTCTTCCGAACCAAAATCGTTCAATGTTTTTTTTAAATTTTTTTTTATTATCAAGTCTTGGCTAATAAGCGAACCGACAAATTGAATTGCAATAATAAAAAATTTGTAGCCGATTTTTTTTAACGATCATTGCTATATCGGTTGGCCTGGTTATTTTTCGAAGAAATTTGAAGAGTTACAATTATTTTCCTCGGCTACGTAACTTGCGTTTTAATCGAAAGGCGTATATATATATATATATATATATATATATATATATTTATATAAAACAATCCGAAAATAATTGAGTTGTTGAAGACCAAATTGATGGATGAACTTTACGTATGGATACTTGAGTTTATGGCTATTGGACATAATCCGATATAATTTTCTAATTTTATTATGAAATTTTCGATACTTTAAACTTTATCGGAATAATCCAAATAATGAATATTTTTGATCGGATCTATGCGGGTTTTTCATTCCCGGGTTATCAATTATTGATATTCTTAAAAGTTAAATATAAACGATGGAGTTGGAAAGCACTAAGCTTGAGTTATAAGTTTTTAGTTGATTTCCGTTATCGTTACAGTGTACATAATGAAAAAAGCAAATCAAAATTTCAGTATAATTGGTAACGTGTAAAAGATATTAGTTAGAAATCCGGTACGAATATCCACTAAAGCAGTGAAGCAATAAAAATCAATGAGAAACTGTATGATGTTTGTGTAACTGCCAGATATTCAAGATTCGCATCAAAGCAAATTTACTTATTTGCTTATTGTTTTTTTTTTTTTTTTTTTTTTTTTGCATGAAATAGGTATCGCGAGACAAATATGGTTTTCTTACTCTCTTTTTTCTATATATATATATTTTTTTTTTTTGGCGTGTATATGCACATTGTGATTATGTGAATGATCGATTCGTTTAAAATGGACAAAATTGGTTAGTTGGCCAAAGATACTTTTTTTTTTTTTCTTTATACGATAGTGCTTTGTGAATTAAAAAAAAAAAAAAAAAAGAAAAAAACTTTTGATATAGAAATGTTTATTTATTTAGGCATATACGTACGTATGTAATTGGTATTATAACGTGTTTTAATGAAACGTAATACATATACAAATACAGTTACTTTTACATTTCATCACAAATGATTCGTTAATTCTTTTTAATGATTTTATGTATTATTTTGCAAAATTTCAGAAAATGTTGTTTAATGGAAATAACTTTATTAAGTGGAAGGAAGGAGCTGAAGGTAACAAAAAAAAAAAGAAAAAAAAAAAAAATACTCTCTCTAATAATATCTTTTTAAATATACTTTATAATTAATAACAAGTACAGAAAAATTTTCGAATATGAGGAATTTTATTATCTTTGACGCGTTCGAAATGGAAGACCATCTATATATGGTTGGTTGAAAATTCTATCTGCGGTGATTTGGTAATGATATTACGTTTTAACTATGGATTTATAAATGGCAAAGACAGGGAGGGAGAGAGTGAGAGAGAGCGAGTGAGAGAGAGAGAGAGAGAGAGAGAGAGAGAGAGAAAGGGAAAAACGCTTCGAAACAGGTACAGGTGCCAAAATATCAGAATAAACGACGTTTTTCACAACAGCAGTTGGATTTCGTGCGCACAGTTCCGCTCTTTCACTGCCGCGGTACCACTATTAGCGCCAGGGCCAATGCATTGAGCATTGAATAAAAAAATTGAAATTTTCCATGGACATATATATATATATATTCTTGCTTAAAATGGTTCCGACAAATGGAATTTCATATAAACTATGTATATTGATGCATAACTGTTAACGCTCCAAACACATAATCGCTATGCATTCTTTTCCTTTTTTTCTCCTTCGATTCATAAATAAATGCAACTTTTTTTATTTAGTTTCTCTTTGAATGCAATTGAACAAATAATTTGCTGTCGAGCCATTGCACTGAATAATATTCGAATCGTTCGACAATTTGTTTTTTTTTTTTTGATGGTCCGACAGGAATTTATAAGTTGAGTACGATTCTCATAAATTTGATTTGTCTACGATTAGTTTTTGAAGAATTGTTTGCAAAATTTTTTTAATTCGAACAACCACCACGCGCAATATAAACTCTATGTGTATGAAAGCTAGCGAACTAAGTTGGCGACTTTGAAATGCACTTTTAATCAGAATTGCCCCAAAATTTCACCAATTTGTTAATGCAAATTTTTAGATGAAACGAAAGCATGGCCGTTAAATATTGGGTGATGGTAAAGCTGGACTTTGGTTGAACTTTTTTTTGCCGGCAACGACTATTACTGAGATAAAGAAAAAATGCTAAAGGCTTTCAATGTGTGGCTTACCAACACGTAGATAGGAAATGTGGGGACGCGTTAGATAGAAAATTCGATAGAAGGTTTTTTTTGTTCGGTTTTAATTTGAAATAATCGTTTATATTATGGCAAACTGCTTATGCTTAACAAATGAGACAACTGGTGCTTAATTAATTAATCACGTTATGTACATATGAACGAATGAAATGATTTTAAGAATGTTTAAATGCATTTGTCGAAATTAATCTACAAATAGTTAATAAAACGAAAACATGATCTTTACCAGTAAACGATAAACGGCCATTTAATGTAAAATGCTTATGAGCGAAACGGAGAGAGAGAGAAAGAGAGAGAAGGAGAGAAAGTGAAAGAAAGATAGAGAGAGCGAGAGAGAGAGAGAGTAAGAAAAAAAGAAAAAAAAAAAAAAGGATAGAGAAAGAGAGAATAGCGCGGGCGAATGAACTTAATGTAGAGAATAATCTCATAAAATTAATTAATTTTTACCTGTTATGTCGGGTCCACTAATTTCTGAATAGATTTTATTATATGAAGGTCGTCGGGTAAGTTCTCTTCGGCCGCGCGGTGAATCCTCATCCGTGAAGCTATCTTCACTATTTGTATCGAGGTGTTGCGTATTCGGTTCTGGCTTAATCTTGCAGGGAAAATGTGGAGGAAGCTTGATTTTAGTAAGTTTTGATCATCATTTTACATCATTTGAACAAATCAAAACAAATCAAACAAATTATGATGGAAGGCGAGTTTGGAAGCATAACCGTACCGATACATTGTTTTTATGTTATATGAAATTTAAAATTAAAAATAAAAAATAAAAAAAAAAAAAAACGCAAATAAATTATCAAAACGATTGAGTTAGTTAGCATTTAGTCTTACTTGGACAGCATTGCCTGGTGTTGTGTGTATAACTGTATTTGGTTTATTAACAAAGAGTACACCTTTGGGTATAGCAACAGGTCCTTGTGTATTTGTACCGGCGGCTGTTTGTATGACAGATGATTGATTGGCTGCCTGTATAACTGACTGAACCTAAACGATAAATTAAAAAAGGAAAAAAATAAAAACAATTATTAAATATATAGATGAATGTTCGATACCCACCACCTTAAGTAACTTGTTTTTTTCATTCACTTTTTTTTTTTTTTTTTCTTATTTATGTGACTCGATTTTCTTGACGGAATGGCCAGAGATTTCCCGGTAAAAGGTTTACTACTTTTCATCACGTGAACCGCCATATCCTATTATTATAGTTAGATGATCTTGTAGAAGCAAAAGTTGTATTAATTCAATTTTGAACCAATGCAAATCTGAATCGTTAATCATAATTTTCTAAAAAAAAAGTTATCTTCCGTTCAAGTTTTAATTAATTATTCAGTACGTGGTGGTCAAGTCCCAACCCACTCTTACAATAAAGTGTATTCCCTTCAAACTCCTTTACTTAACGTTAATTGTAGGTTTTGACATTATCTTATACCCAAGCAAGATTTTCTTTTTTAGTTTATAACTAATTTTAATAGAACTCTTTTAATATTAAAACATGTCCTTAAAAGTATTTTTGGGTAATAAATTTGCCACTTTCGAATACTTGCAAATGTGGGCCAATAAAATTGATATTTATTTTAAATGCGGTTAAATAAAGTAAAACAAGCCTCCCCTGGGCGAATGAATTTTGAAATTTTTTTTTTGTATTAGTATCGTTGGGTGGTGGATATAATAAAAGTGAATAAATGAGATAGCATACCGGCAAACCGTGGGGATGAGATGATAAATATTGTACCACATTTGTTGTGGTGGTAAGAACAGTACCGGTTGCAGCGGCAGCTGCTACAGCTGCTGAAACTGATGCCGATAATTGGGAGGAGGGTGGTGGTGGCGGATGCGCCACATTTTGGCTATTATTTATATTATTTTGTGTCGTAGGTGCTGAAGATGCTGCTGTGAGTTGAGGTTGTTGTTGTGACGTCATATTTAAATTATGACCAGCAGTAGCAACATTTACTGCTGTCACTGCCGCTTCATCCACATTATTCATGTTGGAGTTACCGCCGCCGTTCTCCTCCACGATGCTGTCCATTTTTTTAATTTTCAACAGCACCGTCACGTCTTCCGACAATTGCTTCAGTTTGAATAGTTTTTGTTCTTTCACTTTGCAACAACCGAAAGACAATTAACCGTGTGGTAAATTCGTTTTATGAAACTCACTCTAGTTTTTGTTGCTCTCACTGTTGATTATTTCATCTGGCACGCGTGCGTGCTAATATTGTGTATTAACTATTTATCCCACCGTCACCGTAAATGATTTTTCTTCAAGCATTTGTAATATAATAAAAATTTGGCTTCTACTGTGCCTTATCCAGATTAAAACTTTCAAATTATCCAGTTCGAGGGTTTTTTAACTAAAAAAACGAGAAAAAAAAAAACAAAAAAAAAAAAAAAAATGAAATAAAATAATATATATTTATATCTACATATATAAATAAAAATAATTTAATAACTTTAGATAACGAAATGTAAACATTTGTTCAACTCAGTTCTTAACGTATGTGTGTACGCGTACAGCTACGATCTCTTTGTGCTCGTAATTAAAAAATTCTTAACATCTCTCGATTAATCGTCATAGCGACGTATTATCTGTTTTATATGAGTCACACTTATCACATATTGACAACAATCAACTAACTAACACAATAACTGAAAACGACTTCATCATCAATATATGCTAACCGCACAAATACCGAACGCGAAATGTGCTGCTAACGTCTCTTGGCCTCTTTGTTTTTGGCAAACAATCAGTCAGCTCAGTCAGCTCATCTACTCATAAATCGTCATAAACGCATAGATAGAAAAAAACTTGCTTATCTGTGTAATGTTAACAATGGCAATAATCCAAGTGGTTACACACTCTTATAAAATATTTGTTTGTTAGTAGATTAAAATTATGATCAATTTTTTTTTTTTTTTTTTTTTTTTTTTTTTTAAATTATGGATAAAATTGCTACAAAGAAAAATCCATTTTCACTCGCAATGATTGAAAGATTTTGCTTTTGTTTGCATTTTAGTAAAGTTTTGACTCTAATACATACAAATTTCGAAATTAGGAAAGTTTTCCTATATAATCTTGAATTTGAATAGAATTTATAAATGAGGTCACCCGAAATTTTTGATATAAAAAGAGCATGCAGGGGAAATCAATCGCGTACCCTTTATTCCCTCTTATGTGAGTCTTGCATGTCCAGGTTTCGTTTATATCGTACTTTACTTTGACTTCTTTCATTGCCTGTACGTTTCTCATTGCTTCTCTTACTTGCACGAGTAAAGAGTAAGTAAACCAAATAGAAAAAGAAGAGCACAGACGATGAAAGACAAATAAAATAGATTCAAAAAGGAGTTTGTTTAATCATATTTTATATGAAGCAAAATTTATTTTTACCACGTTTGGACAAATAGTGGAAAGCAAACAATAATTCTCGTTTGGCGAATTCAAAAGTTGTTCAGATAAAAATTGATCACAATACCCATCCATATTGTAAACAAGTTGAAGTACCCAGTGCCCATTTACTGTAAACAAATTATTCTATTACTGAGAAAACTTATTTAACTTGTTACATCACAAAAAAAAAAAAAAAAAAATAAAAAAAATCAGATGCTACGGAGATAGCTTTATATACTTCATAGAAGCTATAACACTGGCGGCTGTCTTGCTTATCAGTACTAAAATGATTTAATAAATATTTAATCAATATTAAAATTATTTAATAAAATATCTGTAACGCTTAGCTTTCTAAATGCGAACGAGAAAGAGATCAACACAATCGCATTCTGACATTGTAACCGGTCACTAGTCAGAAGAGAAAACAATTCGCATGCGTAGCCGAGTAGGTAAGAATTGCGACCACAAGGTCAATGGTCGCGGACTCAAATCTTCTCAAGTGCGGTAGAGTTTACTTTGGATGTAGCTACGGCGAATGCGAGTACTTCAGTCGATAATTGCAACTCCAAATTTTTTTCTTTCACTCTCATCTTTCACTTCTTCCTGGAGCAGGAGGCATCTTCTTATTTCGCAAGAAAAAAAAAAAAAAAAAAAAAAAAATACGTTATTATAGTTTCTTGTGATTTTCTATCATTCTTGGTATGTCAGAGCAGTAATTACAATAGCACTCTTAGTTATCAATTTTATTCATGAGACAAGGTTATTAAGTCACGAAAACCACGCAAAAAAAGGAAGAAAGTTCTTGTAACTGCTCCTTGTGACTTCTGACATCGCTGTGATGCTGCTCAGAATATGGTTGTATATCGAATCTTTGAATACGTTTTGCGTCCACATAAGCATTACATTTGGATAACTGTAATATAACCGACTTAGGAAGCCAGTGTCTCGCGTCCCTATACTGTCTGTCTTCAGTAAATTTTGTTACGGTTATATAATAATAAAATGATATTAGAGTGATAATGCTCGATAAGTAAAACTCTTGAAGCTTCATACTCGAAGAGCATACGTAATAGTAGTGATTATGGTTTCATAATTTCCAGGGGTTTTCACTACTTATGATCGTGTTTAAGGAGACATATATCGAATTTATGAATTTTTTGCATTTATTTCATGTAAATAGTAAGAAGGCATAATTTAATATGATATTTGCAGTTTTGTCTAATAAAGAAACATCCGTGCGGTAAGCGTAATTAATGATATGCACTTTTATTGAGGGGTCAAATTCTCACGGAATGAAGCCTTTTATTATATTCAAAAAATACATCCCAATTCGTTTTTTTTTTTCTCTTGGTCTCTATGCGGTCTTTAGAAATCTGTGCAAAAAATGCGAAAAAATATATGCAAGTTATAGTAAATTTGGGTATGTCTCCCATAATTTAAAAGAAAAAAAAAAAACGTTTAAGATGAAAAAACCCCCAATCATTTTCTCCGAGAATCGTGCAAAAAAAGTGATAATGAAATTCATATTACATTTGATAAAATAAAAAGAAAACTTTTGTCAAGAATAAATAAAACTCAATTTCCCAACTTTAACTAATACTACCGTTATTAACGCATGTGTGGGCATAACCCGATTCACTTTTGAACAAAGTATTCCGCCAAAATATAAATTTTGCTGCTGTATACGTAAATTTCTGCGAGACACCGACAAAATTAGAATTAAAAATATTTTTTTGTTTTTTTTTTTTTTTTGGCTCTGGTTGGCGAACCGGGTTATTTCAAAATCATTTAAAAAAAGAGTTGGGTGCATCTACATTATTAATTTCAGAAAGCGAAAACTGCAAAAGAAAAGTTTGTCCTTCGATCTAAAATCTTTTTTAAAAGATCGATTTTTATACACGATAAGTCAGATTCCCAGCTCTATTGAATTACTCATCTTACAAGAACTGACCAATCAAGTGCATTTGATTTCGTGCGAACTGAGATTCTTAGAGATTGAACTCTCTTTTTAACCACATATGAGCTCGAAATGTTTCTTATATATTTTTCTGTTGAATTTCTTTATCTTTCTATACGATAGTGCGAGCTCTTTTCAGGCTAACTAACCTAAAAATAGGAATCCTTTTACTTTGCTAAGTAAATCAATTTTCCTAAGAACGGAAAAGAAGAGTTTGCTTTGTTTGTCATTTTATTTGTGATCGAGATGATATGCAATTTGGGTATCATTTATATCTTTTAAAATTATATAGTCTTCCTGGCACATTTCAGCAGCCAATGGTTTGCTATAATTAAGTTTAGAAAGCTGTACGTTTAAATTAGTCAAATTCGCGAATTCGCTTCGATTGGCCCCAATTTACGTTCGTTTCATTCAGTTTGATAAGCGAACAACTGAATAAAATGTCTTGTCAAAGACTCGAACTCGATCTACGCGTTTCACGATCTTCTCCAGTTAATCAGACACTTTCGCCTAAGGTTTAAAAAGATAATATTGACAATGATCTAAATTTATCGATTCGATATGTTTGGGAAGTTGGTGGGCATATCTTTCAGATGAGATTACAACAAAAGGTAAAATCGTATGAATTAAACGAATTTTAAAGATCATAGATATTCTTGCTTATCGTTAAGAGTTCAATTCTATATCATCTGTCCGAATATCCATCTTGAGGCTATAGATAGACAATATTTGAAACACAATTTTAGTTCGTTTCCACAGATCAAGTTTGAATGCGGAACACAAGCAATTTTAAAGAGTTCAAATCCTCATAGGACAATGCTGCTTTCATTCCTTCTTTCGCGTGAAGTGACTGAATAATCGACTTTTGAAAAGTGAATAATTGAAGATATTAGTACGATGCTATTGCAAAATGAAAACTAATAAGTGAATTACTAAGTAAACACATATTTTTACGAATTATAATTAACAAATAAATAGATTTTCTAGTCTCTAAATGTACATTTGGTAGCGTAGTGAATATTGGAGTTGAAAAGTTGAGTTAATTGTCAGTTCTAGTCGATGGTCTATATATATTTATATCAAACATTTTTAACCATTAAGCAAAAGGTAAGATTTTCTCTCTGAGGATTTTAAAATATAGCTTGATGTATTAATTCATTTAATTTTGACCCAATATTTCTTACAACATATGGGAGAGTATTACGTATTTTAAAGATAAGAATTTGTTATCGTAGAGTTGCCGCGGGTTTATTTAAATTCTAAACCTAAGCCGTTGTTTTATTTGCTTGTTTGTTGCGCTGCATTGGTGTTATTTTTATGAAATGACGTCATGACATTGTCGACCGACTATGATGGTTGGCATCGATGATGATGTAGCATTCTTTCTTTAAATATATGTACACGTATTGTCTTCGCATGTGTGCGTGCCGTTGTCAATGTTTTGCTCATTTATTTTTGGTTACGTAGCATATATGCACAGTTGTATATGCGTATAAGCACATAAGAGAAACATTGAAGCATTCTTAAGCAGTGATGATAAGTATGGTTGTTGTTTTGTTCTTTAACGATCTAAAAGTGTACTTAAACGAACGTGGAAGATGCCTTTTTTTTTGTTGTTTATCATATGACAGAAATATATTTTTATATGCGTTATCATTGGTATTGGTGCGGATTGAAAATACTCGAATTTCTTTCGATTATTTAATAGCGTTTTAAATCTATTCGTCGAATAAGAGGGGGCTGGAAGGCTTGACCTGGCAGCTCGTGAAATGCTATGCCTAGTTCAAGCCGGCATAACATTTTCGACGACAACGCAATAAGAGAAACGAGATTAGCACTGACATCGATATCCAAGGACTTTATATTTCTTAGAATATCTAATGTATTCCAGGAATATATGAAAACAATGCAAACTAATTTACTATGTACATAAATATGACTACTTAGCTTGGACAATATTACTTATCGTGACGATCAATCGACGAACGACTCAATCCGTACAATAGAAT